CAATATGTGGTGCTGACAGGGTAGTTAATTACATAATTAGACGATCAACAAAACAGTGAGCAATGAAAAGTTCTTCAGATTTAAAAATGGTTTCAGCATCGAAGAAGAAATACTTTTTCTATATATTTTTATAGATGTTTGCGTGGGATTAAAAAATCTCACATTTCATTAAAAAACTAAATACAATTAATCAAATACACAAATGAAACACCCGTATTGATTGAAAATACTGAAAACAGTCAACACCCCCTTTTGTAGTTGGAATCATAGAAATAAAAAAAAACTTTATATGCCCATTTTAAAATTGCACAGTGAATTTCACATTTGATATGTTCTTAAAAAAGCACATCAGGAAGATAACGTTTTTGTCCACTGTTTCCTTGCCAAATGGACTCCTGAGAACTTTGTTTCTCACATTGAAATACAGTAGGCTTCATCCAAAGTAAGATACTTCTCCAGAGGCTGCCATTTTTTAGCACTTCAATGTGCAATCTTGAGCCTATATATGCCTAATGACTCGCGCCATGTTCTTCTCTGTAAGCATAATGGCCCTTGCTAAGATCCATCGGGTGACTTTGTTGACCTCTGAGGAAACTTTTGCTTCTGATCTTTATTTGCTTTACTTTTATAGTCCTTCCTCTGCATATCCTGTGCAGGGAAAATAGTCCCTTAAATTTGTTTTACTCTATAATATAAGAGAAGGGGTGTGTTTTGTGGGCTTTCAAATAGTCTTTTTTTATTCCCTGTGATTTCCAATGTGTAGCTGCCATTAACTATGAACCAACTTATTTACATTGGAAATGCAGCTCCTCGTAAATCATAAGTGTCCTTTGCAATTCATCAGAAATTAAATTAATGTAATGTTCATAATTCATTCAACTTAACTGAGTTATATCTCTGAGTTGCAATCTGGTTGTTACTCTATATGCAAATGTTGTTATTTTCTTTAGATGAATACTTTTTCCAGCTTTTATTCAAAGTTACTTACAGTGCAGATACAACTTTACAGTTAGCATCTACAAACAATAAGCTACATGGAAGGAAATCACTAGTGAGACTCTGCCAGAGGAAGCAGTAGTGATAGTGTAGGGATAGAGGCAAGCACAGAAAGATTAGCAGAGGGGGTGGGGAGGTACAAGGTAAGAGTTTAGGTAGAAGATGCTCTCTGAAGACTTGGGTCTTCAAGAGTTTCTTGAAGGTAGACAGTGATGCCTCTTTTCTTGTACTGCTTGGCGGGTCATTCCACCATCGTGGAACGAAACAAAAGAGTCTGGATTGTCTTAAGCCTAGTGTAGGCACTGCTATTAGTAACTGGTGGCCTTGACTGACTCACAGTACACTTAAAGCTGACTGTGATGAAGGAATGGTGACACCATCGGGGATTACAGCTTCCCTAATGAAACAGAAAGTCAGAAATTAACTGTAGTGGATTTGTGCCAGTTCAGGGACATTTCTAACATTTCTGTGTGTGTTACAGTCCCCCCGGATACTGTAAGTCTGTTTTAGGAATGGATTTATTTCCGTTCACTTTGTAGAATGAATTAAAAAGTTAAGGACTTCATCATTTTCTTGGTTAAGCATCAAGGAGAGAAAACTGATACTGCCCTTTGGTTTCCGTGACCCCGTAAATGTGAAGCTTCCACCCTGAACTAAACAATTTTGGCCTGTATCCACACCAGACCAAAATAGGACAGCAGCTCTGCACGTAAACCCTTTAGAACAGTAATGTACCATATTTACACATCTGTCTACCTGTGGATCACACAATGAAGATGCAACCCACGAACCATTTAAGTTGCATCACTGTCTCAGCAGCAGAAATCTGTTCTGTTGCTGACTGTCAGCCCCATCAGGCTGGGTTGTTTTCTCATCTTAAAACCGTCTGTCTTCTGAAAACAGAGTTTCATCTTTTCAGATTTCCAAAGTATGAAGGCCGACCTGAAACTAGTGCTTTCCCGGATTGCCTTACAGAATGGAACATTGGTCGGGTTCATATACTGTATCCGAATGAAAGGCAGTTTTGAAACAGAACACAATTACCATAGTGTGTAAGGCAACTCATTAAAATTTAATGCTTTGTTTTAAATCATGGTTACATAAGGAATTCCTGTGGCATTAATCCTGTTTTGTGTATATGATATTAAAGAAAGCCTCATTAAATGGGTAACACGTTATGTAAGATCCTGTGACGCATAATTTCCCATACTTACTGCTCAAGGCCTGACTATAAGAGAGGAATTATTTACATGAAATGTCTGTAATTTTTTGGGTGAGTCATTGCCAGAATTAAAGCTGTCAACACTCGTATCAGCTTTTGTTGGTTTAGAAACGTCTCCCTAGTTTGTTATGGTGGGGGTCTTGTACCTGAAATCCCCTGAGATTTTTTCTTGTGATCCAAGGGGGATTATCCTGGTACCACTACAAACAGTGGAGGGAGAGAAAGCTTATAAAACTCCGATCTGTTGGTGTGAGGTTGGGATAGACCATTTATCGGGCTGGGTTCAAGGTGTAAAACAATTACTCTGTCGAATAATTGTTGCAACTGGTCAAATTTTGGGATTTAAAATCCGTTTGGATTTAGACTGAACAGACACCCACTTTGGCACTGAGAGGCTTGAACAGGTATTTCTAAATAAACATAACATACTAAAATAAGTATATATTTATTTATAACCCTAAACTGATAATATATTCACATTCTATAGTTTCTGGCATATACTAACTGTATTTGAGTATTATTTCCTATTTTATTCCATGTGGTAACTCCACTAGTCTTGATAAACGTTTTTACCAATTATTTCCACGGTTCTTCATGCGTGTTCACACTTTTCCAACTGTGTAAATCTCTTTATAGCACAGCGAAGTTGCCACATGGGTTAAAACCACAGGGACAACCCTGCCTGGACAAGCTCTGCTGCCCACAAGCCTTCAAGGTGCCCTCTCCAGCCCATCACCTGGGTCCTCACTGTTATGTGAGGACCCAGTCACTGTTATGACTAAGTGGAGCTTTGAGTGAAAGTGACTTTGTATTAGCAGGGGAATCTAAGGAATGTTTGTTAAGAAGAACTGACACAACAAGCTTTCATCCTCCTGCTCTTATGCTTCTTACTACGTTTGGAGTATATCTGCAGCTCAAATGGGATATCTCAGTTTGGTTATGACAGCAGATTAAAAGAAAAGAAAGCACTACAGTCAAATCTGGTGGTGTTTTTCCTGCTTGTGATAATAGATGAAAAAAATGCTCACTTGAGCGTCTGAGTGTCATGTTGTTTGATTAGCACATTTATAAGGAAACACTGCCCTGATTCTCTACAATCTTTAACCGCTTTTGTCTTTTGACTTGTCAGTGTTCAGTCAATAGACGAATACAGTGTCAGCCTCTGCAGCTGCACAAGCCACTGTGCTGGGGAAAAGGCAGTCTTTGCCAAAGTAATCCTTTGGCAAAGACCGGTGCCCCAGACATTGGTGCAGTGATGATCTACACAGAGAAGGGGGCGGGCAATGTGTACTTTAGGTCACCAGACACTGGCATTGTCACTGCAGTGACCATTGTATCCATTCTGTATTTCATCTGTGTTGTCTGTTCACATCTTATACAGGATTGCACTTGTGCAAGTGACTGTTTTTGGATTTTTTTGTGTGTTTGCTGATAGCTTCAGCTCTCATCACTGGCATGGCTGACCTGCCAAACTGCTGTGTTGTTTATTCAGGTGTGGCGAAGACCCAGTGTGACATCATCACATTCACCTATGTGTGAATTAAACCATCCTTGGGAGGGCTGAGTCCAGCAAGCGTCCGTTAAAAATGTGCAATGGCCAGCTGATGAGTGCAGGCAGGTGTGAATTACAGGTCTCATTATAAACCAGTTGAAAGGTGAACGACACTGCTTTTTTTTTCTGAATCATTCACTCAAGCCTGCTTCATGTGCGTAAAACTCACCACGTGTGGGAGGAACCAATGACTCTTTCCAAGCCCACACAATTTGACCAGAAATAGCCTCACTTACGTAAAAATGAAAACCATGTGTTTTCATGTGAGCCTATATGAACGGTTTTAAGACCGAAAGCCAATGGCGAACACTTAAAGAGCCTCATTACAGAAGTGAGGAACATGACTGCTCCCTGATGTTTTGTTATTAATGAATCATCATTTCATTAGCCTGTGCCATATGCACTGAGATGACTAACAGGCCACAGAGAAACAAACCGGGGTTCCATATCAGAGAAGAGAACTGCAGGCGCCTGGATATTTTTCTTTGAGAGTACAAAGATGTGCAGTTTTGGGGTTAGGTTCACCTACACCTTCCATCACGTGGACAGCAGGACATTGATCAGAAACAGTCATCAGTTCAGTATGGGGGACAGCAGAAAGGGGGGTGGGGATGTCAGCGGAGAGACTAAGGTTCTGGCATGTTACCATTAGATTTGCATGTACCATTTTAAAATGCAACACATCGCAGCGTAAGCGAAGACTGATGTGTCCCAGTGATAGGACTGTATAGGGTAGCTCAGATAAGACCAGAAATACGCTTAGTCTGGCATCACGTATCATCCATGCCTGTGAATTTTGGGATGCTAAATACAAGTATTCAAGCCAAGGCTGGCTCGATCACTTGTATACAACATACAGTAAATGTTGCACGCATCCGTGTCAATGTATTCAATGGCAAAAAATGCTGCTTGCATCAGCATCAAAGCAGAGAGCTACAGGCGTCTTTATCATACGCAAATCTGACGAGGAATGCAGCCACTTATGAACGGCGATATGGCACATTAATTTTCAATTTGCAGCTCCACAATTCAGAGTCACGGCCAATATTCAACATCCAGCGTTGGAAGCATATGCGCTAATTGTCCCTTGGTGCTCTGACATCCCACTGGGCAAGCAAGCACATTCGCTCCATCAAAGCAACAGCAGAATAAAAACACGAGTCTACCTTGAAAAAAATCATCGTAAAAAATAATCACAATATTGAACGGATAATGCCACAACCATCATACCTGTGCCATGAGCCAAATCGATGCCCGGTTCGGTGAGTATGTTCGGGTCACTTTGAGATCTGCCTCGTTGCAGACAGCCGTCTAGTCCATCCGATGTAGCCATGGGGAGACAGCGCAGGAATCCTGAATAAAATATTGAAAACCCAACCGGAGGCAGGCAAGGTCAGGAGGAAAGCAGCGCGCGAGGATAGATTTAATTCGCTCCGACAACAGCCGCTTTGAGCATCTACCAGGGAGCCATGGCTGGGCTGAAATTACGCGCGCGCGCACATACGCGTGTGTATGCGCTCGCGTTTGTCTGGTCTGCGTGCTACGATGTGTGGATATGGGAGGGGTGATGTGCCCCCGATGATGCCAACGGTTTGATGATGATGTGCATCCCTCTCCAGCAACACAAGTACATGTTCAACTCACCAGCATGCTTTAAATCTACTTGTATTGACCATCAGTATTCAGTGGTTCAAGCCAACATGTATCAACACCTCACTCACGTCTGTTGCTTCATTTATTCAGGATGTGCGAGCCTTGCTACATCAGCTCCTGTCGTGTAGGTATAGGTGGGGTAAAGATAATAGGCCAAATTATCTGAGAGCTCACATGTCGCTTATGTAGTTAAGTGGTTATGCCACATAAATGGGCATGTTGATATGACAGTATGACCTACAAGAGGGACGTGATGTAAGCAGCTGATGGTGTACGTCTGACATAGGCCTACCCTTCTATATTCTATATTCCAGGTCTGTTAAGGAGTTTAACGACGTCTCTGAATTCCCAACGCCTACCCAGTATATTGTAATAATAAACACATCATTTACAACCTTTAATTGCTTTAATAACTTTATCAAAATGACTGATGTGAAGCAAAATGACTGAACATGCATTAAGAAATATATATAGCTAGTCAGCTGGCTCGAGCAATAATTGTTTCGTTTGTAAAATATAGAGTGGAATTATTTTAGCAGAAAACAAAGCATTTCCACGCCATAGCAATGGGACTCCATATGGAAGCAGCCCATTGGCTGGTTCGGCGTATGACGCATGAACAAGGAAGTGGATCGCTACCGCGGCTAAAAAATGGCAGCTCACAGGTGCAGCCACTTGGTTTGGCTGTTTCTTCTTGTTAGTTTGTCGGCGTTTCTCCTTTCCGACAGCCAGGAAACTACACTTACCGATGACAACCATGACAACGAGGCTGAGAATGAGCAAGCACCGCCCGAGTCAGCGAAACAAACGGCCGAGCAACCCGCTGTGGATGAGAGGCGGTGGGAAGCAACCGAGGTTAACGAAGTGATTCCCGGCGATGCCGCAGCCGACAAACACGACTCTTCCGCCTCTCCAACGGCGGTCCCTGTATCGATGCCGCAACCCAAAGACGATATGCAGGAGGAGTTGGTTATCAGACCGCTGCACTCCGGAGACATTTATGCCAGCTTCCAGTTCCGCACCCTGTGGGAAACGGACTTCACGAAAGGAAAGAAAGGTGAGCTAACTGGTAGCAGCAGAGCAACATTTGCCATTTAACTCCTTAAATGAAGGACGCTTTAAGTTAGAAGTGAAAGTAATATGCAGCGACTACTATGTTAATCATTTAGAGCCCTGTTTTGAATTAGATTAAATTGATCAAACTACATAAAAAGTTTAAACTAAAGATAAAGAACAGTTCTGAACATCATACTGCTGTAGAAAGCTTTGAATGTCCATTGTGAGTGACCTAGTCCACCAATGCATTAAGTCATATATAAACATCCAGTTGAAGTTAGAAGTTATCCAAAACATTTTTTCAAACATTTTAGATAAAGGGGTGTGTCCCAAAAATTTCCAGACACTGTATTTAAACCACAATGTATATACTGATACTTCAGGTTTGACTGTGCAAGTAATACAATTATCTTGTGATCTGACAATTCAAAAATCTGGATGCTGTTTGAGAGCTGTCAGCACACAGCTTGAAGACCACCTGCAATGGTTTTGGGCTGCATTAATGCACTCGACATAGATAACTTGCACATCCTGAAGGCACTAATCATTCTAAGAGTTGCTTAAAAAATTAGGACCAACATGCTGCCAGGCCCCACTTGCCTTTCAGGCATATAGGACAGGCACTTTCTGAAACATTCATTTTCTGTCGTGAAAAACACATTGAAGCTGTAGTTACTGGAAAAACTCAAAGATTAAGTTGTTATCAACGTGTTCTCCTGAAAATCTCAGGTGGTCCTGCAGGAAGGTGGCTGTAGTTAAGATAATCTATTTGAAATGTTTTTTCACATGTTAAGTGATTACATATATGACTGTAAGTTACAGAAACATTTAGAAATAACATTTCTAAATCAGGGGACATAAGTGCCCATAGTTGTAGTGTTTACCCTTTCGAAGCATTTTTTCCTGTCATTCTATCATTATCCCATAACCGTCTGGGACTGGTAAACTGGATCCAAAATATGTTATGAGAGGACCATTTCTGTTGAATTATGCTGCCAATGTTTCTTTTTAGCAACATACCTAAACAGTGTTTTTGAATTTGTCAGTGTCCCACTACAGGCTATTTCCTAAGTCCCTGGGACAGGTCATCTCCAAGTTCTCAGTGCGAGAGCTGCACATTTCCTTCACCCAGGGCTACTGGAGGACCATGCAGTGGGGACAGCCTTTTCTGCCCTCTCCTCCAGGCGCTGAGCTCTGGGTTTGGTTCCAGGACTCTGTGACTGAGTGAGTGCAGCCCCCTGGTGGCCACAGAGCACCAGAACAGCCATATCTGTACCAAAAGAAAGACATTTTACTTAAAAACAAAAAATGCATTGTTTCCATTATCTCACAAACCAAAAGGATTAGATGCAGCATTTCCATCCTCTTTTGAATCGAAGTTTCAGATTTAGAATTTTAACGGTTGTCAGATTGTAACAGAAAAAGGTTACGTTTTAATATATTTGGATCCACCAAAACAGATTGTGATCATTTAGATTTACATTAACAGCCAACATTTTATCAAATTAGCCACAGATTCAGTGATGGCTGACATTTTGATATACATCATGTGGAATATACCGGGTAGATTTACTTTGCATAATCTTTCTTCTTTTTTCAGTGTGGATGCCACATGGAAAGAGTTGACCAATGTTTTATCCGGCATCTTCTGTGCCTCTCTTAACTTTATCGACTCCACAAACACTGTTCAGCCCAGTGCTTCCTTCAAACCACTGGGAATTGGCAACGGTACAGTAATTCTGTCTCTTGAAGTATCTTAAACTCTGTGATGCTTTTCAATCACATTTCACAGGGTAGTAACCCATTCATAATACTGGCTCTCTTTATGTTGCTGCCCCAGCTGAGGTTTTAGATAAGCAGACCCAAGACTGTCCAATGATCTATATGACTGTACTGTGCCTTGACATATTTAAGAAACACAGGCGTTAAAGGCTCCCCTGGTGTTCTTGCATGATCATGAAACGAGCAAAAAGATAGACACAAGTCCAGAAATGACCTAAGTAGAATAGACTATATTATCCTGTATGATGCACTTAATTACACGAACACTGACTTTTATTTACTGTTCTAAACTTGAAGTGACAGACCATCGATTCCTCCGTTACGCCACCCTGCCACGAGAAATAGTCTGCACTGAGAATTTGACACCCTGGAAGAAACTCCTGCCCTGTGGATCCAAGGTGGTTTTCTTCAAATTTGGGTGTTTCTTTGCCATCACTGTGCCTTTTCTTTCAGCCAACCCTTTTTTCCTGATATTTTTGTCCTGCGTCTGCAGGCTGGGCTCTCTGTGCTGTTGAAGTCAGAGAAACTCTTCCACAGCAGTTTCCATTCCCAGGCAGTGCATATAAGGCCAGTTTGTCAGGACTGGCAGTGCAAAACAACGTCCTGGGAGCTGAGGCAGACACTGAACGTCGTCTTTGACCTTCACACCTCTGGAGGGGCTAAACGAGGTAAACATTCTTTCTGCTGTCAGCCTGTGTTTTATTGACTGCCCCCTGATCTTTGCTAATTCAGCTGATTTTTTTTTCTTATCAGAGTGGTCTTTTTTTAAGATGTTCTCCCGAACCTTGACAGAAGCATGTCCACTGGCTTCCTCCAGTAAAATATTCATCGACATCACAGACAACCCCCAGGTTTGTTAGTTTTTCCCCCTCAGTGTAGAGAATTATCCTTAAGAACTATATGAAACAGAATCAAAGTGAGGATTATCTGATCCAAAAGTACTTTTAAGGTTTGATACTTGAATATGGATGACTTGAAACTGACAAAAAAAAAAAGCTGCAGTTGGAGAAAATGTGACTTAATTCTGCAGGAGGAGCAGTTTGAGCTCAGCCCAGCCACGCCCCTGCTGAGCCAGGCTGTGGTGCTGGGGGACAGACGGACGTTCTCTGTCTATGATCTGACCCAGCCCATCACCTTTGGCACCATGCGCTCCCTCAACCTGCTGATCCGCTGGAAATCCACCGAGGGTGAGTGTCAGGAGCAATGGACCACAGCGCTGTGGAAAATGGCCTGAACACTGTCAATAACATTTTTCAGGATGCAACATAATGAACTGCAAGTGTACAGTATAGTGTCTATTTAGCTGTTTAAATCCTAAACTCTGTTTAGAGTCTCTTTTTATAGAATTGTCATGTTTCACATTCTACAGGATATAACGTATTTTTCTCATTTAATATTTGTTCCCATCCGTCCCCACATCTGCCATCGGCACTTGTCTCTCACTTCCTGCCTGCAGGCGACATGCTCCGCCCTTTGCTCCATGGCGAGCGTTATGTAGCTGGGTACGGGCTGCAGACGGGGGAGATTCACACCTTGATGTACAACAACCACCCCTTCAGGTCGTTCCCCGTGCTGCTGCTTGACTCGGTGCCCTGGTATCTGCGTCTCTACGTCCATACGCTCACTGTCACCAGCAAAGGAAAGGACAACAAGCCCAGTGAGTCTTTCTTTTTTCTGTCTTTCTTTTTTGTTTGTGGGGGTTTGAGATTCTTTACAAAGAGTTGGTGTGTCATTTCTGCAAACCTCAAATGAAAATTCAGTTTTTCATTTTGTCATCAGCCGTTTTGATTTCATGCCAACATGCAACTTGTGTTCAGCAGTTACGTATAAAGTAACTATCACGCATCCATCAGTTAAATGTGTTATCCACGCAATTTTTGCTGCTACTTTTTCCCTGCCAATAAAGTGCTGTGTGTTTTCTAGTGTAGGAATGTTTGGAAAAAGCTGCCTTGAGTTTGTGTGTTAACAGTCCAGAATTCGACCCCTCTCCTGTGCAGGCTTTATTGTTTCTCGCACAGCTTCCTTGTAAACACAAGGGGGAGAGCACGAGGCGTGTTTTCCATTAGGCCAAGCTGGAACACACGTACCTATTTTCATCTACACATTTGTGCTATTTTGCAAATCATTTATTGCAGTGTCCGGTTTTAATGGAAGGTTTTGTTATTTTTAAACATCTGGGTAAATAATGGAAATAGTTTCAACAGTCCCTCATAGAGCAGGCAGATTCTTGCTTTCAATCCCAGCTAGGTCCTCTTCTTGTTGGGTTGGTATGCTCAGTATTTGTATGTCTTCATCCCACAAGACAAATACAGGGATGTTAGGTCAACTGGTGATTGATCCCAAGAGTGAGCGTGAGCATGCATGATTGTGCCTCGTTTGTCTCTTTGATGGACTGGCAGTCGCCTTCAGTCTCCCCAAAACTCTGAGGAGCATGAAAGACGCCTGCCAAATGACCAGGCGGTAATTGATGAGTGGTCTCCGTCCACCAGGTTATATCCATTACCAGCCATCTAAGGACCGCGTCCGGCCTCACCTGCTGGAGATGCTGGTCCAGCTTCCTCCTCACTCTGTTACCGAGGTTACAGTGCAGTTTGAGAGGGCTCTGCTCAAATGGACCGAGTACACACCCGATCCCAACCATGGCTTCTACGTTGGGTACGCACGGTTGTCCGTTCCCAGACACATTTGAGCACTATCTTTTTCTTTTTGTCTCTGAAGCAACACAAAAGCATACAAAGCTATATTTTAGGATTTTTTTTTGATAATGTCTATTTACTGAAATTCAAAACAACTAAAAGGAGTCTCTTTACATTTAGATCCTCAATAATCAGCTCTCTTGTACCAAGCACTGTTGCCATGGATACAAACATTACTCAGGAGCAACCGCTTTTCAGCAGCTTGTAAGTATGGTATTAATTTTCTTTGTGTTGAATGCATTTATCCGCTTGCTTTTTATGCTCAGTTTGTCTGGAAATTGAAATGACCATTGAGACTCCGCATCTTCCACCAGTTTTCCTTGTAAAGAGGAGTCCAGCTATTTTATGCGGGTCTACACGGAGCCTCTGCTGGTCAACTTGCCCACCCCAGACTTCAGCATGCCTTATAATGTCATTTGCCTGACCTGCACTGTTGTGGCCGTGGGTTACGGCTCGCTCTACAACCTGCTGACCCGAAGCTTTCAGATAGAAGAACCCAACCCAGGACTGGCAAAGCGGATAGCCAACATCATACGCAAAATGAGGGGCGTGCCCCCACTCTGAGCTGTACAACAAGGCCCACTGACTTCTTCAAGAAAAGGTGTTTTCCTTTTTGGTGAAACAACTGGAAAACGATTGATATTCAGGGAGGACTGAGTCCAGCACTGGCGTGAATGTTTTAAACTTGAAGGTGCTTTTTTTCCCCCTTTTTTTTTTATTGTATCTTTTTTCTATTTAAATGGAGGGAACTTTTTTTTTCTTTGAATATAATAACTTTCAGGATGTTTCTCTGCTGGGTTTATTTGCTGAGAAAGTATATTTTTGCCTCTTGGTGGAAAGTAAAAGCTTTGCAGGTTCTCAGAGAAACAGAAAGAGCAGTAGCTGTGTCAAAATCACTGATGGGGTTTTAAGTTGATGGCTTTGAATATGTTGAAAACAATATCTTAAGTCATCCCATAACTGAGATGTTCTTTTACTGTTTAAACAACAAAAGCAGTAAAGATTAGTTTAGATTAAAACCTTTACCCTTCCCCTGTTTTTGGTCTGTTGTTTTCCATCTCCCCACCGGGTGAGATAAGATAAAATGACAAGCTAAGTCAGAGTGACTCTGTCAGAATGACATTTTTCTCTTTTTAAACAAGATCGCTGCCAAGACCCTGAAATCAGTTTTCTGAACACTAAACACTGCATTTCCGAGTCTCGCCTTTAAACTGGTATTTATGAACTACCCGAAAAAACAGGTGACATTTTTTTTTCTTTTATTTCTGTATTTTTTTCTGCTTGTGTGTTGTATTAGAATTAGGAAGCAGCCTTTATGCAGCCATTGAAATGTTTTGGACTGACTTTTGGATGCATGCTTGAATGTTATGTGGAACCGTCTGAACGTTTCCATTATTGACCAGTCAAATATTCTCATCATTATTAACCCATCAATTAATAATGTTTCAAAGTACCTTAAAACAACTGTTTGGAGTGTTTGCACACTGTCCTCTGCTGTACTTTTTTAAACCTAATTTTCAGCCAGTAGCACATGGGATGTTACAGTCTGTACAAGTTGTGTGTCTGAGTTTTATTATGATCGCCTTATTAATAAACTGAACCACACCTGAACAGGAGCTTTTCACCTCCCACACAGTCTGTGTATAATTGATCGGTCAATGATTGTGACCTCTGTACAAACAGTTAAAGCAGCTCTCTACATGTTGTTAAAAATAAGGTCAACTGCAGACCGTTTTCAAATGGGTGGGAACACAATGTCACAGAGCAACATAACGGGAGTCGGCAGAAGTTTAATCCCCCATAAACAGAGCATGATCATCTGTTTACATTATACCTAAACAGTTAAAGTACGAATAGTTTTGCTTTTGATCTGGATTGAACAGAAAGAGTGTGCAAATGTGTTTATGCTTTATGTTCATGACTTGACTGAAAGCTATTTGTGGGGATAATAATGTAACTTATAGAAAAGACTGGATCTTTATAGAGTGTGATTGATGTTTGAAGGAAGTGTATAACACAATAACTTCCATGAAACGATGGCATTTATTTGATGCTAGTTGTATGGAATTCTAATGATGAGTTTGGTTTAAATTAAGGAAACTAAAATGACAAGACTATGTGAGAATAAGCCAGACAGTCTTATGTGCACGGTATTTTAAAATAGCTATATATGAATTGGACCAATGCGGGAACAAAACAGGGAAATTCAGAGCACTTTTATTTCACCCATATGGGACTAAGGCTTTGCTGACTCATGATACAAAAGCTCAATATTATATTCAAATGTATTTATGTAGCACCAAATCGCAACAACTGTTATTTCACAGAGCAATATGTAAATAAATCTTTCAAAATCATTTAAAGAAAAACCTATTCACAGATTGCAAAACAGGTTAAATTCAGGTCTGCTGTTTGAAACTGTATAGTTTACTTAAAACATTTAAACAATTGATTACACTAAGCTTTATTAATGATGGAAAAACTGCAATATTTGTGGTTTAATAATTGACTCGCTACAGTATATTTTGGGATGTTTTTCAGGCCATTGCTAGCATCTACTGGTCTGAGAACTGTAAAAGGCCTGTTACTGTTAATCATAGGAAGTTAGTTTAGAAAAGGAAGTAACAGCAGGAAATTGTAAGTTTATGGATCATTTTTCAAGATGTGAGCAATTTGAGAGGCATCAAGCAGAAATTCTGCTTCTTTTCCCCCTGATGCAAATTATGAGACTTAAATGTTCACTACTCAGGTCTGAATGAGGATGTAGAAGCCTTCATAACGAGCAAATAAACAAAACACCCCAACACACAGGTAGCTTTTGAACATTTTAATCAAAGTGGCCTTGTAGCAACCAGGCACCCTCATACTTTGGAATATGAGGCATTTCCCTCTCTGTCCGGTCACATGCAGGCGTAAGTGCCGTATATTTTGCAGCACTTCTGTCTACGTGGACAATGGCTATCAAACCAGCAGGGCACCAAACACTTGCGTGGGTGCACATTGCGGCGACAGCGACCTGGTTTCATTGACACAAAAATACAAAAACATAGATTAGGTGAATGTTTGAGGATGAGAATCTGGGTGGTTGTTAGTGGCGTTAATCAAATCTTACCAGGTTTCTGTTTAACGCATACGTGTCCACATCCATTGAAGCGGCACACCAAACCATGAGGGCAGTCATTTGGTTGATAACATTCGTGAATACACGTACCTATGAGCCTCACTGCACTAGGACACACCCCCGGAGCTGAGGAGAAAGTGAAAGACAAAAATGGAAGGACTTTTGAAAAGAAGTTTGTGTGAACATTTTGGATCAACATTAATGAAAGTGCATGTTTATCAGCTGTTTGTTGAGCAACAAGTAAACGTGCCCTTGCAGAAGAAAACAGAAAACATGGTCCAAACATTAAACCGTTTGTTAGGAAGACAAAATCACCATACCAGGATGTCCAGGTCTGGCTTCAGAAGAGTGCAAAATGACCACACACATTAAGCACAGTGAACAACATACGGACCAGAATGTCGCCATCTCTGCTCTGAGCTGTGGTCCTGCTTTTGGGTCACACATATATATCACCCCAAGGCCCATAGGCTGAGCAGCGCAGGATACTGGGTCCTGCTGTCTGTTGAGTTATTGTCAGCAATGGTTATTGTCAATGGAGAGATATGGTATCGCATTGCTTTTCTTTCTTTTTTTCTTTTTTGGGGGTTATGTTTTTTAGTTGTGCATGACAACGTTGTGATTTCTGTTTATCATTCTGATAGCGGGATGCTGATTACATAGTACATTAACATACAAGGTTATTTGGAATAACTTCTAAACCAAATTCTAAGTATTTGGTGGATGCTTGGAGTAATAACGATCTAAATCACTAATGACTTTTCTGGTGT